AAAACAAATAAACATTAAAAAAAATTAGGGATGCCTGGGTGGCTCAGTCGGTTAAATAACTAGCTCTTGATTTCAGCTCAGGTCATGATCTTGCAGTTCATGGGTTTGAGCCCCACATCGGGTTCTGCACTGATGGTGTGGAGCCTGCTTGGGATTCTCTATCTCCCTCTCTCTCTGCCCTTCCCCTGCTCATTCTCTCATTCTCTCCCTCTCTCTCTCTCTCTTTCTCAAAATAAATAAACTTAAAAAAAATTAAAAATCGGGGCACCTGGGTGGCTCAGTTGGTTAAGCATCTGACTTCAGCTCAAGTCATGATCTTGCGGTTTGTGGGTTTGAAGCCCACATCAGGCTCTGTGCTAACAGCTCAGAGCCTAGAGCCTGTTTAGGATTCTGTGTCTCCTCCTCTCTCTGCCCCTCCCCTGCTCATGCTCTGTCTCTCTCTGTCTCTCAATAATAAATAAACGTTAAAAAAATTTTTTTAATTAAAAATCCATTCTTCATTGCTGTGCTTACAATAGTGGAACATTTCTGACAGGTAGCATGTTAACCTTTATCAATGGAGAGTGGAGAGTTCTAGACACTACAAAAAGAAGCAGGTTTCTTCCTAGTTCTGTCATCTCTCTCTGCTTAATCCTAGGGCACTGCATAGTATACCTAGTAGAGCTCACCTCCAAAAAGTTACAATAGGACCACCCCATAGGTGTCTTCCTCACAAGGTCCCTGGCATGGCTCATTCCCTCAGGTAGCTTCTCCTAGAACTTCTTACAAAATCTACCAGTGCAGAAACCCCTTCAGGAATCTTTCCAGCATACCACCCTTGGAGACAGCAAAAGGAACAGCACCTCTCCAGAAGATGGCTTTCCCCAGTACCAGAGAGGATGGCTTCCCAATGTATCACCCTTATGACCAACTTCCCAGTAAGTCCTGGTTCCACCAGTATGGCACCCCAGAAAATTCAGTGATGACAGCTGCTCCTTCTTCACAAGTTCTGGACCTTAGCCCTGGGTTAGGGACAGGGTAAGGATGGGGGTATTAAGATTCGTTCCTTCTTTAAGTACTTTGCTTCCATCCTATCAATAGAGGCTGTTCCTTGTATCTTCTATCCCTATATTCTTTAGAGTTGCCTTTACCTCTTGGTAGGGATTCTCCTATATTAGTAATTCTTTATGTTGAACTTTCCCTATTCAAATTACAGTGTAGTTTTTATCTTTTGATTAGACCCTAACTGATACATTGCATTTCCTGTTAAGAATTCAATTTAAACATGAGTCCTTTCTGGGAGAAGAGATGATATCACAGAACTAAAGGAATATGGAATAGACAATGAGATTATCAGCTACAAGATTTCACCAAAGACACCTACTTGGCACAGGTTCCAGCAGAACAGCTCTGAAACACATAGCCTATGTGCTAATCCTACATTTCTCTAGTGCAGCTCACCACACATTCTGAAGGCTTCAACATGTATCTCTGTTGATGTAACATGACCGCAGGCATTAGCCTCACCAGCATGTACTATCAATAAAATGTGTCAGCAATAAAAACAAGATTATTCCAAGATTCTCAAATGCTAGTATACATAATAATCCTCTAAGAAATCCTATTAAGGGGCACCTGGGTTGCTCAGTCAGTTGAGCATCCAACTTTGGCTCAGGTCATGATCTTGTGGTTTATGAGTTCGAGCCCCATGTCAGGCTCTGTGCTGACAGCTCAGAGCCTGGATCCCGCTTTGGATTCTGTGTCTCCCTCTCTCTGTTCCTCCCCCACTCGCACTCTGTCTCACTGTCTCTCTCTCAAAAATAAAGAAAGAATAAAAAAATTTTTTAAAGAATTCCTATTAAAAAGGCATATTGCTAACCTATACACATACAAAAAGAACTTTAATTCAGGAACTCTGACGTGGAGTTCTGAAATGGGCATTTGGAACAGGTATCCTGGGTAATATTTAAACACGATCCATCAAACATATTTAAGAAACCATTCATCAAAAGTCATAAGATAATACAAACACATTGGCAATGTATCTAATACACACCAAATTTAGTAGTTATTCATAATAATTAATTATGGATTTAAAAACTGAAAAATTTGGAATTCCTGACCAGAAGTTTAGTTCTATACTAAAGGTTCCTCCTTGTGAATACGAATGCATACACCAGGATTTCAGAAATACTGGAAATGATGGTAACTGGCACTAAAGTGTAAATAGTAGATACAGAGAAAGATCAACATATATGAAAGCTATTTAGGACATAAAATCAAAAGGACTCAGGAATGTATTGAATATTAAGAAATCAAGTTGTCAAGGTTAATCGCCACACTTCTGTTTTACCCAACTGGATAGATATTAGTACCATTCACTGAGACAGGGAACACTGGAAGAAGTGTAAGTTTAAGGGTAAAAAAATTCTTGGTTTTGATCCATTGGGTGTGAGGTGAAATAGTCTAGTAGGTAATTATATACCCATCTGGAGTTCAGAGGATGATTTTGAGCAAGAAGTGTACGTTTCTAAATTACCAGTATAAATGTAACACTTAAATTGAAAACCCGGTTGTGGTTGCCTAGGGGGTAAGTTTAAAGTAAAGAAAAAAAAAGGAGGATATAGAATGAAATCTCAAGGTGCTCAAATATTTATTGATTATAAAATAAAGGTGGTTCTAAAAAGGAAACAGCTAAAGAGGTAAAACAGTGGCCAAGAAAGCATAATTCACAAAAGTCAAAGAAATAGTGTTTTAAAAATGACAAAATGATTGACAATGTCAAGTATAGCTAAGGTAAAGAAAATTCCTATTGAATTTGACAATATAAAAGTTTCGTAGAACCAAACAGAATGTTTTCTTTATTATGGAGAGAGAATCTAATCAGGGTAGGCTGAGAAATGCTTTGGAAGAAAAGAGTATATATAATAAATTGATGCCAAAAAAATGAGCTCTGAAGTTTCAAAGTATGGCCCTCAGCTAAACTGTTAAGTTTTTATAGAAAATCCACAAAAACTCCAATTATTTTTGATAGCCCTAGTTGGCTCTTTCAAGGAGAGAATATCCAGATTAACCTCTTCACTAGATGCCAATTTATCAGCTAATAATTTTTTTTATAAAAGACTCAACTAGTTTTATTGTTCCTCAACTATCTTCAAGGCTTTTTCTCTCCTCTCTTTTATAAATCTTTGATTTTGCCTTTATTTAAAAAAAAACAATAATTTTTTTAATGTTTATTTATTCTTGAGAGAGAGAGAGAGAGAGAGAGAGAGAGACAGAGCGTGAGCAGGGAAGGGGCAGAGAGAGGGAGACACAGAACCCAAAGCAGGCTCCAGGCTCTGAGCTGTCAGCACAGAGCCCAACGTGGGGCTCAAACCCATGAACCATGAGATCATGACCTGAGCCAAAGTCAGATGCTTAACCAACTGAGTCACCCAACAGTAATGTAATAACTATTTCCCTTATGAGTAAATTTGCATACAATTTTTTTTAAAGATTGGTTATGAAGGGCAAAAAAGAAATAGGCCAGTAATTGGAGGGAATGTGGCATCAAATTAGAGAGACATTAGTATATTTAAAATCTGAAAGGAAGAACACAATTGGTTAGGAAAAGTTTAATATGTGAGAATGATTAATCAATTTCTTAAGATAAGATCCAAAACAAGTAAAAGAATGAATCTTATGTAAGAAGAGGAACAATATTTGTTTAATAAGAAGAAAGGAGGAGTGAATGAGCATGGATTTAAATAAACTGTTTGGTAATTTAGGAGTTCTAACCGGTGGCTTATATATCAGCATTTCAAGTGACTCGTTGAGAGTGTAAATGAAAATGGGACTGAGGGAATATAGGTTTGAGATGATGGCTGAAAAGGATTGAAATTCATTTCAGAAATGCAATAGAATTGCCAGGCAATATTCGAAATAATTATGTCTGAATAATCATGTCACTTTCTTCATCATTGTTTTACAACTAAGCTAAAGGCCCAAAAAGTAAATATTTGCACTTATTCAAGTTTAAGTTTTGTTAGATAAATGCAATGAAAAGAGAAAGAGGTAAACAATATTAGGAAGTTAAGAAATTCACTGTGATTAAGTACCTACTGTCTAAGCTAAAAAGAAAAATAAGTAAAAAATACTGCAGGAAGGTAAAGGAATGAATGAACCAGTAGTCTTGATGAAGTCAAAGAATGGCCAGAATAGTATTTAAAGCAATAATTGAGAAGTCAGAAATTTTTAGTTCAAGAATGAGTTGCCTGGGGGTGCCTGAGTGGCTCAATCGGTTAAGCATGCAACTTCAGCTCAAGTCATGATCTGACAGTTCGTGTTGAAGCCCCACGTCTGGCTCTGCACTGACAGTGTGGAGCCTGCTTGGGATTCTCTCTCTTCCTCTCTCTCTCTCTCTCTTCCTCTCCTCCACTCATGCTCCCTCTCTCTCTTTCAAAATAAATAAATAAACTTAAAAAAAACAGCATAAAGTCTTTCCTAAAATGGAATTAAAAACCCTTAAGGTTAGAGACCGATAGTTTTCAAAATGGTCATAAAACATCTGAAAATCTAAAGTATAAAAAAAATCATGAAAATAACATTAAATTTAAATAAAACCAATATAAAATTTTATAAGTAAGCATATTATAATATCATACATGTTTTTTAAATACAGGAGAAAGGTTTTAGCTGATATAAGTTTTTCCTTGTCACTGACTCTTTTACATAAATTAGGAAAGAATGATAATTAAATTTCCATTATTTATTTTTAAGAGAAACAATGTGTCAAACTCAGAGCATCTCAGATACATGCAGGAATGTAGTGTGTAATCAAGGAGAAACATTTTATTCTAACCTTTAGTTCCTTCTCTACCTAAGTCAAAAGATTATAAACAATAGTTATTCAAAAAATCTTAACTAATTTCAAATTGATTTTCAAATGAGACAAAATATCAATTTAATTCACAATTAAGAAATGTTATACTTACCTCCTCCATCTGATTGACCTGTAGCTGAAACCACTTAAAAAAAAAGAAAGAAAGAAAGAAATACTTATTGACAAGTTATTCAAACATGTGGGTGGGTACAGGTATGTGTGTGTGTGTGTGTGTGTGTGTGTGTGTGTGTGTGTGTGTGTGTACTTCATCTACCAAATATTAGTCATGAACCAAACATCATTTATCCTAGGGTTCAGAATGGGGCTAATGCAACATACAACTGGAATATAACATTTTAAAATTTATATAGTTGCAAGTTTGGGAGTTCTTTTTACTTCCTCAAAACTTAGAAACCTCTTCTTCATTAGTGTGTATTTCTGTATTATAATTTCAGTAGGCTTAAACTGTAATATATTGAACATACCTTAAAAAGAGATTCCAAAATCTGGAAAATAAAGTTTTAATTAAAACATTTAAATATAAAATTATTCACTATGTTATGATATGATAAACTATTTAATTCTCTATAATTTTCAATAAGAAAAATATACAAATTATTAAAATAAAACTATAAATCTACAATCCAAGATAACATTTTTATAATTACAGATATAGTTTTTAGTACATCATGCATAGACAACTCAGTTCTAGAAAACTGTCCACCATTATATAGTATGATACCCAAAAATAATGTACATTTTTTATTTCATATATTAGTTAATATAAATAAGGAATAAAATTAAGATTCCTCTTGGAAGAGATTTTTTTCATAAAGCATAGAGTATTTTTTTCATAAAGCATAGAGTATAATAATGAAAAGCATTATCATAAGAACATTATGTCTTCAGTAAAACTTGCTCTGTTGAAGGGCCTAAAAATTGAGATACAAAATATTATACTACTACTTGATATTTTTAATAGGAAATGCATACAACTGGTTTGGGAAACTGTGACAGAAACTGAATATCCAAAATGAATCACACAATCCTAAATACCAATATTTACCACTTAGAAAATATAATGTTTAAATGATTACATTTGAAACACACACACAAAAGCCCATTCTATCACATCCAGATAAAAGTTCTGAATTACATTGTTAAAAAAAAATTACTACATTCATTAGGGCAGGAAAAAAAAGTTACTTAAGTGAAAAATCAGACTAGTCTAAAAATTTTTTTTGCCATACTAACACTAAATCAAGAGTTCAAAAAGTATAGTCCCCAAACCAAGAGCATCAGCATCACCTAAACAATCATATTTGTTAGTAATGTAAATTCTTAGGCCGCATCCCAGCCAACTGAATCAAAAACTCTGGGAGTAGGGCCAGCAATTTTTGTTTTAACTGGCCCTCCAATTGATTCCATTGCATGCTAAAGTTTGAGAATCACTGTGCTAAATAATAAGAAATCAAAAATCTAAGCAAAAAGGGCTGAGATCCTCAACAAAAAATACCAAAGTAAATAAATATCCATGTCTGAAAAGAAATATTTTTAGTTGCATAAGGATTTAGAAACTAATGTTCACTGAGGCACACTACCTTGGAATAAACTCATTCTTTCCACTATCAAGAGATTCCAAGGTTCTCAAAACCTCCTTTCCTATCTCAGAAGATGATAGGAAACCATCATATATCAATTCACTCATTCATTATAGCCAGAGTTCAACAATTATTTAAACCACTAAAAGCCCAGAGAACAAAGGCTTTCTCAACTACTGAGGAAACCTACATCTTCAGTTCTAGTAATGCTGAACCTAGAACACTACTGATAAAAGTGGAGAATGAAAACTGACCAGAAGTGAGGAAAATCAATTTTACACAAACACTAAACAGAAAATGAAAATTCTATGAAAATGTAGAGGAATGTATATAAAGTTCCCAGGAAAAATATTAAACTTATATTCTAATTTTATTTATCATTTAAATGTGAAGCCAAAATGAAACTGTTTTCAGAAATTCAAAGGCTCCCAAACGATTTCACCACACATTCTAACCTAACAACAACAAAATTTATTCTTAGAAAAGTAAATGTAAGAAAAAACTATAGGCAAGGTAATCAGTATATACCTTACTCTTTTGTTTGTTCAAGTTTTTATTTAATTTCCAGTTAGTTAACATATAGTGCAATATTAGTTTCAGGAGTAGATTTAGTGATTCATCACTTACATGTAACACTCAGTGCTCATCACAAGTGTCCTCCTTAATACCCATCATCCATTTAACCCATCATCACCGCACCCACGTCCTCTCCAGCAACCCTCAGTTTGCTCTCAATAGTTAGGAGTCTGGGATGCCTGGTTGGCTCAGTTGGTTAAAGTGAACAACCTTTGATTTTGGCTCAGGTCATGATCACACAGCTCATGAGACTGAGCCCAGTGTCAGGCTCTGCACTGGCAGCATAGATCCTGCCTGGGATTCTCATTCTCCCTCTCTCTCTGCCCATGCTCACTCTCACTCTTTCTCTCTTTCTCTTAAAATTAATAAACTTAAAAAAATTATAATTGACTCTGTTTTATGGTTTGCCTCTTTCTCCCCCCATGTTCATCTGTTTTGTTTCTGAAATTCCACATGACTGAAATCATATGGCATTCGCCTTTCTCTGACATTTCATTTAGCATAATACTCTCTAGCTCCATCCATGTCATTGCCAATGGCAAGATTTCATTTTTTTGATGGCTAATATCCCTGTGTGTGTGTGTGTGTGTGTGTGTGTGTGTACCACAAATTCTTTATCCATTCATCAGTTAATGGACACTTGGGCTCTTTCCATAATTTGGCTAGTATTGATATATTGCTGCTATAACATAAATATCAGGGTGCATGTATCCCATTGAATTAGTATTTTCATAGTCTTTGGGTGAATACCTAGTAGTTCAATCACTAGATCTTGGGGTAGTTCTATGTTTAACTTTTTGAGGGACCTCTATACTGTTTCCAGAGTGGCTACATCAGTTTGCATTCCCACCAACAGTGTAGGAGGGTTTTCCTTTCTCTGCATCTTTGCCAACGTCTGTTGTTTCCTGTGTTATTAAATTTTAGTCATTCTGATAGGTGTATCTCATAGTTTTGATTCATATTTCTCTGATGATGACTTATAGTGAGTACCTTTTCATGTGTCTGTTAGCCATCAGAGTAAATACCCTACTCAAAAAACTATTAATGGGGCTGGCTCTCAATGCCACTGTAATAAAAAGCTTCCTAATGAAAAGATGGCACAATATTTTTAAGTGAAATAATAAGCTGTAACTAACATTCAGATAGGCATAGTGTGTCACTGAAACCAAGAGAAGAACATTTCAAGAAGAACAAAATGTTCAACAGAGTTTTATTTGCAGAGTTGTCAAGAGTCATGAACAATGAATTTAACACCATGGAGTTAGGGGGAAGCAGTCATTACTATCATTACAGGACTAGTTCAAGGGACTTTGGGGGCAGAAGTCAAACTGAAGTATAAATGAAGGGGAGAAAAATTAATATAAGTATTAACAAGAGGACTATTTGGGAAAAGGTAGAGCAATATAGGAAAGCACTAGAAAAAAATGTACACTCAACGGAAGGGTTTTATAAAACTTTAAAAGCCAACAAACATTTTATTTTTTCCTATGACATTAACATACCAAAACAACATTCCCTAGTTGCTAAAATTTTCTAAAAGGGTAGAATATATTTTGATATATTTATAGGCTATTTGTATTTCCTTCTGTGTGAAATGCCTTTTTATTTCCTTGAGCATTTTCTACTGATTTATCTTATACTTATTATAAATAAATGTTATTTATATATTCTGGATAATCCCTTGTCACTTATATGTTATCTAAGCACTTTCCCCTATTTGAACCTTCTCTTGTACATCTCTTTATGAATCTTTATACAATAGAGGTTTTAATTTTAATATAGTTGGATTTATCCAACTTTCCTTTTATGACATATTTAATCTTGTAATTATTCATTTCTCTAGGTCATAAAGACAGTCTCTAAATATTGTTTCTAAATATTTTTGGTTTTTTCTTCTACATTTAGGTCTTTAATTCATCACAAAATGGTTTTTTTATATATACTATAAAGTAGGGATCAACTTTTGTCTTTTCGTTATCCCAGAGCCATTTATTATACAGTAATCCTCTCCTTGCCTACAGTTTCACTTTCCAGTTTCAGTTACCTTTGGTCAACCACTGTCCAGAAGCAGATATCCCTGCTTCTGACATATCATCAGAAAGTCAACAGTAGTCTTACAGTATGTCATAATGCCTATATCATTCACCTCACTGCATCTCATTAAGTAGATATTTTATTATCTCAATTATAAGAGAAAGGGTTAAGTACAGTATAATAAGATATTTTTAGAGACCTCATTCACATAATTGTTATTGTTATGTGCCCTAATTTATTAATAGTTGTTGTTACTCTCTTACTGTTCCTAATTTATAAATTTAACTTTATCATAGGTATGCATGTATAGCATAACACACAGCATGTATGTGTGGATGTATGTATATGTGTATGTGTGTGTGTGTGTGTGTGTGTGTGTGTGTGTGTGTGTACTATCCATGTAGGCATCCCACTGGGGATCTGAGAACATATCCTCCACAAATCCACAGATAAGGGGGATTATGTACTGTACTAGAGGTCATTAGTAACATATTCCATATATGAAAGGATCTATTTCTGAGTTTTTATTCAATTCCATTGGTCTATCTAGTCTTGCACCAAAAGTACACAATTATAATAAATATAGCTTTATAACAAGTTTTGATATCTGCTAGGGCAAATTGTCTCATTTTGTTCTTTTTCCTCAGACCTCATTTGTCTATTCTTGATCCATTGAACTTCTATATAAAATCCAGAATCAGTTGTAAATTTGCATCAAATAAGACCTATTTTGGGTATTTAGAGAGTGATGACAGCAAAAATGGTAGAATAGGGAACTCAAAGGGCCTATCCTACAAGGAAACATGAAAACATGAGCAAAAACTGTCATGACCAAGTTTTCAGAACTCTGAAAAATTGTCAAGGCTTTACAGGAACCAAGTAATGCTGAATAAATAAAAATGTGACTTAAACACTGTAGGAGAACTTTGTGACATTTCAACAGTCTTGCCCTCCCCTAGTACAATGGTAGTCGTAAAGTTGACAACCTCCATTTCTGATTTGGGTATGTGGTTCTAGAGGAAACAAAGATCTATTGCCAAGGAACTGTGTTTGTCTGTTTTGACCTTTCTGAGGGTTCTCTGAAGGACTTGCAGCTTTTGCCTTTGTTTCATCTAGCTCAGAACTCTCTCATGGCAAAAAACAAACAAACAGCTGAGTGGAGGGAATTACTCAAAAACACTGAAAGGAAAATGAACAAGCCACTGCTCCCTGTAGAAAAAGATTGCAGTTGTGGCAAATAATATACATGTCAAAAGCCTAGAAGAAAAAGCTATAGCAACAGTAACTTTGGAAAA